AACACAAAGGTGAACGACGAAAAGCCAAAGGACAAAAAGTCAAATGGCAAGAAATCGAATGCAACCTATAAAAATGCAAGACACCAAAAGCGAAAAACGGCAAATGGCAAAAAGTGGAAAGTATATCAGTCAAATTCAAAGAGTCAAGCAGGCCAACTGTACTAGAATTCAATGTATCAAATTCATACAGCCAAGAACAAAAAACAAAGATAAAACCCTAAAAGGCAAAAGGTCAAGTAAGAAACACGCGGAAATACATTGAAGCTAAAAAGAAAAAGCAGAACCGGCTAAAAATCAAAATACACCGCGATGACCACCCGCCTGATTGTACTAAGGCTGGAGAATACACAAGGACCTTTGATCAGCAACTCGTCCAGGAGGACAGGGGCAAAAGGTAAGGCCCCTCCACCGCTAAGCCAGTGCGGCTCAGCCAGTTAGCGACCTCGTGACTGCACGGAGGATGCAGAGGTACTCTGGATTGAGACCAAAGAGCCCTCTGCGCGATGCAAAATGGCTTCACGCGCGTTCATTTTCGTCATTCTATGTCCCCTACATTATCTGCCTCGGGTCTCTTTGGCTTCAGAACATCACAGTCATAATAATATTTCGTTCGCGGACGTCGTCACGAGTTTTAGGTTGAAGGACCACTTTTCCTGGGGCCTCCTTGAATGTTGAAGACAGACTTCTGAACGTGATTTTTGAAATGGCTTCTTCAGTTTGAACGTGAAGAGGGAGAGCGGATGCTACAGCAACATATTGGTACTCCCAAAAGCTGTATCTCGTGCTCTTTATACACACCTGCATGCATCCTTTTAACACGCACTCGGGTGGGGGGGTCGAATTGGCCCCCCAAAGGTTTCCCGGGAATGGTCTCCGAACGGCGCGGCGTAGCAGCGCCAAACTTTGTCTAGCTGTAGCCGATTGAAAAGCGGATCGTCTGATACAAGAAATTAGATGCACTTTGCAAGATCGCTGCCCTATAGCAGGTCAAAGTCAGGCAATGGTTTCAGGGAAGGCACGTTCTAGGGAATCGTTCAATCTGATGAAATAACGGAGTGTTAGACGATACCATACACCTCTGAGATACTTTCTCAGGCAATACACCACTTGAATAAACAAATATAATTGACCTAGGGTTAGATATGAAGGTAAGACTAGCGTCAAAACCAACCTGATTTATTACCCTGGGTCTTGCTGTATGGGCTGGTTTCTGGTGCTCATTTCGAATATATTGATAGCATGAGCCATATTATACACCTTTCATTGGCTTCTTATAGGTCAGAATAGGTTACTAACTTAAAATGACCCAATTCAACATTTTGTTTTTAGGAGCATACTGCCTGGCGTAATCCTTGTCGCATATCCAAACACAAAGCTCAAAGCAGTCTATATCATTTTGGTCATCATGACCTTTAAAAGGTCAAAAAAGGTCACTGACCTTATCTGAGCGTGTGTTATTTTGCTTAGAACAGTTGCCTGCTTTCTAGGGCCATTTGGAGACAATCTGAAATTTGACCTTGTTTGACCTTTTCTGACCCGAAGGTCATGACCTAGGAGCTTTAAAATTTGACCCAAGTGAGTTCACGTATAGGTCAACACACCCTATGAATTTGTTTTTTTCTAGCTCTCCTAGTTCCCGAGATCTCAGAGGGGCCAAACTGATGCCCTCTGCCCGAGAGAAGCGTATCCAACCAGCCACCCGGAGGCGTGTTTAAAGGTCAAACAAGTACACTGACCTTAACTGAGCGTGTGAAATTTTTCTCAGAACAGTTGACTTGGTTCTAGGGGCTCTTATGAGACCAATCTGGAATTGGACCTTGTTTGACCTTGATTGACCAAAAGATCATAACCTAGGAACCTCAAACTTTGATCTGAGAGAGTTAACGTACAGGTCAGCACACTCTGCGAGTTCGGTGTCTCTAGCTCTCTTAGTTTCCGAGATCTCAGGGGGTCAAATTGGCCCCCCAGACCCGAGCGATGGGTATCCAACCGGCCACCTCTACGCTTGTTAAAGCAAATCGACGTTCTGTTTGACTAACTTGCTACATTTTGAACTCTGCCTTAACCGTTATCCTGTTGATTCGCTTCTTGCGTTAGATCTCGGTTACTTGTATTGCTTCCTTGCCTTTTCATCCCTTCGACCTCTTGCATTTCAAATTGTGCATTTGACTTCTGTTCTTTTAGGCTTGAACTTTCTTTTACCTTTTTGATTGCATCGTTTTTGAATTTTTCACATTCGAATTGTGTCCTTAGACGTCTCGGCTTTGCATTTCTTATTCGGTAACCTTTTTGCCTACGCGCCCACAGTGATATCGTGTCCCTTTGCGCTTGGGTGTGGTGTTCTGTGCATAGTATGACGCATCAGCCACATCTAACTCACACCATGACGTGAATACGCATGATACGGTGCATCGTGTCATCTCATAAGCCCAGCAGCACCAAAAGAACGTGACGTGCTGTAGGGCTCACCTTAAGTTCACTATTTCGGAACAATAATTACCGTTTCAAACTTATGTTACTAAATTGCGCTTGGGGTAGCCGATTTTATAAGGTGCCAGCAGCCTATTATCCCCTAAACCAAAGCAACATATTGTCCCTGAAGTGTCTATAGTGGAAGTCCGCACCCGCCGAAACAGTGGCTTTTGGCCCTTTATTCAAATCATCCCACCATTGACTTATCTGTATGAAATGGCACACACCAGGCTCTTCTGTCGATCAACTTTCGTCATCCGGGTTTTTCCTCATGGCTCATAATTGAGCACGAATGTGAGAAACTTGCCATTCAAATAAAACGCTGGGCGGCTGTTGCTGGCGCTGGAACCTTCGGAAACAGGTCTTCAGTTCCAATCATGCAAAACTGGTCTTTCTGATACTGATATTAAGGTTGGGGTAAGGTCCTACTCATACTGATACTGCTTTTAAGGTTTTGATGGAATATGTTGTAATACGCCATTTTTAGGCTGTGCGTTGCATTTCAAAAAACATGTGATTTTTTTCGGCGTAGCAATGCCGGGATTGGAATGATAAGAACCCCGGAATCGGTGCTGATTTCAGTCCCAGGATTGGCATTCACAATGCACACACAAATGTTCTCACGCTGCATTGCGTTAAGTGGAAGTGCAATCTTCCAAAGTCAATAACATCTTCAAAGGCCGATTACATTCCCTAATGGGTTCCGTTACGTCTATAAAAAACGCCATCGACCAAGCATCGGCCGACGGTAGGCACTAAGGCTATTCACATATACAGCGATGCGCAGTGTTTCTGATTTCGCCGTCGCCGAAGCGGCTGCGGCAGTCGGTGGACAACACTGCGCGGTGCAGGTATGGCTTTACCGCCATTTTAGCAAAATCCGGTTTTTCAAGCTCACCACTCGCGTGTTTTCGGGCAGACAGGACTATGCGCGCCATCTGGAGACGTCATCTAGCTGAGAGCTAATTACAGCTTCTTGGTAGCATTAAGCCCTTTGTTCTGGTCTCGGGACTCTCCGGGAGTATATCACTCTCATTTAGTTAAAAGGATGTGAGAAGCCCCCGACGAATGACAACAGTTCGTCCGGGGCAAAACCTGTAAAAAAAACAGGCGGTGTCGTGTTCACGAAAAATAATATATATTCTTCCCTTGAGCGAGCCGAAAATTCTGGCACAAAACAACGTGTTAACCCCTGGAAATCCAGAACAACTGAATGCTTCCACTTTTCGTGCTTTGTCTTCGGACATAATGCTATGGATCGCTGCCATTACCGAGATACAACCAACGCATATTGGCCTTCCATACAGCTCGCGCTGAGGAGACAACTTAAGAGAATCCTAGCTTAGGGAAAAGAGAAAAAACATCCGACTCAGGGCGTTGCCGCAGTGGGACCCATCCCTTAAATACCAACGCACGCATAACAACAGGAACAGGCTGAAATGAAACCAAATATCTCGTAGGTATCCAAAATACGAGGCAAGACACGAACGAAAAGCTGCGTGTATTCTCAAATGGCCATCTATATCCATCCATTTTATTTTCGTTTTCTGGAACGCCAACCCCTTGCTTACAGCACATCGGACGCACCGTCAAACGCTCTATTAACCGAGCTACGGAGAGCTGCAGACTTCCTGCTTGACGAGCCGTAGTGCCGTTACTTCGTAGACAGGCGCCTTGAGACCGATCTCAAGCTGTGCTTCAGCTTCTCAGAACGTCGCCGAGCCTTTGTGTGGGGAATACGACTTGCGTATTAAAAGCCTTCGGCGACGTCCAGAATCCAGAAATGACCAAGGTGTCCCGAGACGACCGTGACCGGTAGCCAACGGAAATTGGCCTCGTAATGGCATGCATACGTTCTCCAGGTTTCGAGGATTCACAGTCTTTTGAGTAATCCTGGAAGCAGTCGTTGGTTTAAAAAGGCCATGCTTTTCGCAAGAAGCAAAGGCTTCAAAGACATTGCTCAACATGTTCGGCGTTGCAGCGACCTGGTTTCACTGATCTCAGGTTCAATGAATCACAATTCCGTGCCGTCTGGTTCATGCACACTGTACAGCTTGCACCATTGGATGCCACTCCCCCCTCCTGGCAGATGTCCCGTGACCTCGACCTGACCTGGCCGGGGCGGGATATCAGGCGAGCAGACGGATGCGGATATCCTCAAACAGTCACGGTTGTGGTCATGCGAAAATCACAAGGCCTCGAGGTGTAGCTGTCACATTCTATCCGTGCGTTTAGCCATCCATCGTCATGACATCTACATTTCTACCTTATCCGGCACCAGCATCTGATCAGTGATTTACGCCGGGCGTATGCATGACAACTGTGTGAATCCATGACCAAATAAAGGGAAGGTGTTATTGAATGGTAGAAACTCTGCAGATCAGCGTATTCTACTCGACATGCTGGCGTTAAGAATCTGTTTCGTTTCAAGTGCTTTGCAGAGATGTCATGCACAAACTTATTCATGTACAACATAACTGGAATCCTGAGTACATTTGGAAGTTCGCATAAGCATAATATGTACGTACTTGGTACTGCAGCAGTAAGTAGAAAAAAGTTGAAGGGTGAGTGGAGTCATCCAAGGGCTTTCAGGTCTAACAGCAGCTCGCTAAAGAGCTTGTTACTTCGCTATTAGTATCACAGCCTGGTCCGTACCATCCACAAGCAAGTTGCATGAAATGGTGGTGTCCAAGGGCATCGGCTGCAACATAGTCATTCACTAGATACGGCTGTCCAGGAAGGCAATCGCATCCTATGTACGGACTTCAACAACACGCTACAAAACACACAGCATCGGCCTGCCAAGCACCGCCAGAGAAGTACCGGCTATTGCCGCGTCTGTTCGTCTCCAGCTGCCAGTGCTCGCAGAGCGCTGCAGGAGCCGTGGGCGCCAGTCTCAGGCTGCGGCCGTCCTTACGTGAGCAATGTTAGACTGCTTGCCGTTCTCCTTGATGCCGGTCATGTTGGAGGAGAACTGGGAGGCCAGCACCGTCCGCGATCGGGTCACCGATCGCGCCAGCTTGGCGAACTTGGAGAGGCTCGCTGCAACAGGCCCGCCGGTCAGCACGTCGGCCAACCGCGGGAGGCGGGGCCACCGCAGCCACCACGGCGCGTCACGGCAGCAAACCGTACCCGACGCCGTTGGCGGCATGGGACGAGCTAGCTGACTAAAAACGTGATTGTCGACTCAACGTAAATCATACGACAACACGAGGGAGTCGAGCCCGGCGCCTTTGGGGACCCAGACGGATGGTACGTGGCAAACCATTGTAATATTCTCCGTCACCTTTGGGGACCAGAACGAAAAGTACACAACCATGCTTTGGAATATCCTCCGACGTCTCTGGAGACCCAGACAGATGGTATATAGCAATGCATCGGCAAATACTCCGTTCACGAGCTCAGCAGGCGGCCGTGCACTGGTATTTATGTTCTGTTCACACGGCCTTTTGACGCGCACCGAACGGGTGTACATAGTGCGCCGAACGGACGTACATCGGACGGGCGTGCATAGCGCGCCGGACGGGCGTACGTCAAACGGGCATACGTCAGGCGGGTATGCGTCGGACGGACGCGCATAACGCGCAGGACGGGGCGTACGTCTGACGTGTGTACGCCAGACGGGCGTACGTCGGACGGGCATGCAAAGTACGTCAGACGGGTGTACGTCAGACGGGCGTAGGCCGGACGGGCGTACATAGCGCGCCGAACGGGCGTACGTCGGACGGGTGTACGTCGGACGGGGGCACATAACGCGGAGGACGGGCGTACGTCAGACGGGTGTACGTCAGACGGGCGTACGTCAGACAGGCGTACATAGCGCGCCGGACGGGCGTACGTCGGACACGTGTACGTCGGACGGGCGTACATAGCGTGTCGGACGGGTGTACGAAGCATCAGGTTATAGAGAGCGCATTTGAGTACGTCGCGTTGTAGCTGAGTGTGTCCTTATCTTGAACAGAAGTCTACCGCTGCGCATAGCGTATGGCTCCTTCTGTCATCGCCCGTCAGGTCGCCCCAGGCAGTCTTTTATAGAAGAGAACCCCAAGGAAGTTTATTGGCATGCCTGTTATGCCTAACACACAACTTACGCAACCACCGATAAATGCTCATATCTTTGGGCGATTATCACTAGCATTATCGATAACAGGCTTCTGGTGTACTTGAACATCTTTACATTAACAGATGATATTTAATGAGTCCCCTCAGTAAGGCATTAAGTCACACTGTCCAACAACGTCATCTGTTTTAACACACGTCCGACATGCACTTAAACATCAGTATTAACAGACCATAATGGCCTGTCGACACAAGCATTTTATCACACGCGAGTACATTCATAGATTGCAATGCTGGAACATAGGCCGGCTTTAGGCTTGCCAGGGGCAGGAGGTTTTCGGAATCGATGCGATGGATAGATTAGAAACAGTTTATGTTTATTGGCGACCGTGACGTAAGTCTGGCTAAAACGCTAACACTGTGGGTGGATATTAGGCACAATAGCATGGATCAAGCGCCTATACAGTCTATTTTCGCACGATGTGCCTCCGGCTAGACCAGGGCGCGTCGTCTTTGAGGCTGGTTTCAGAAGCGGTGACAAAAGACTGCTTGCTGGGCCGTTACCGGTGAACACCTCGGGTCGACCAGTGTTAAGACCACCTCATGATTTTCAGACGACGCTTTCGCCTACACCGCATAACTACTGCAACGTCTCTGTATTCCCCGCTTGCCGGAGGATGATACCATGGTTCGCGCACGATTCTGCAAGGTCGCCTGCACGCGTATGCCGCAATTTTGCGAGTTCATTCGTCCATTGTATCCATTAGTATTAGTTACTAAGAGGCACAACTCCGCGCGAGTGAAATAACAGAGTTATCGCTCAGCGTAGGTTGGACGAAAACGTAGGTCTAGCAGAAGCTTCAGAACACTACGAAGCGGGAAATCTCTGCTGCGAACTAGATCACACTCGCTAGCTGGCCAGCGTGGGACGTCAGTCGCAAGTGCCGCAAACTAATGCAAGACAACGCGTGATCGCATGACAACAATCGGAAGCCTTGGAGGCCACATGGAGGAAAAATCGTCTGAAACCGAACACGACGTCTCCATCTCTAGCACCTGTCGACCGGATGTTTCTCCGCTTTCAGCTCCGTGCGCGCTCAGCAGCAACAGTCACGGACCCGAAATGCCGAGCGGGTTCACGGCACGCCCAGCGACAGCCGCTGGTGTTATCTCGCGTCGTTCAACGAGTTTACATCCGCATGATAGGGCGTGAATTGGCGTGCGTGAATGGGAATGGACGTGATAGGGCGTGCATGACGACATCGGCTCCGTTCTACAGTGAAAACGTCTGTTTCGGCATTGGTGTGACCTCCCACGCGCGGGTGCCCAGGGACGCGGCTGCATCTGTCGGGCAGCGCGGTCGCATCTGTCGGGCGCACAACAAACGAAAGGCGGCAAATCACCCGCGTCCGTTCGACACCTGTTGTCGCCGGGTCATCACAGCTGCACCTAACGTGCCATGGAGCATTCAACATATGCCAACAGATGGAGGCGCGGTTTAACAATTAAACAGCCCAATCTAGGTTAAGGCGTCAACGCCGGCTTTCCCAGAGTCTCCGCAAGTTACCAGCTGCGTAGCTGGAGGACTCACCTCTGTTCTCATCAGCCTCAATGGGCTGCTTAAGAGCCGTGATGTCGCGCAGGGTCAGCAGGAACAGCACCACCACCTCCTTCTCATTCTTGATGGGCGCCAGGTGAAGCAGCAGCCACAGCGGCGTCCCTGCAGCAGCACGCACATCTCAACACAATACGACAGAGCACTTACGGTGTGCGTGCACAGCCACCGTCCGCTGTCAGCCCCTGGGCTGTCAGCCCCTGTCCGTCAGACAGCTGTCAGCCCCTGAAAATCTCCCGCTGTCGGCCTCTGTTCGTCGGACAGCTGTCAGCCCCTGAGCATCTCCCTCTATCGGCCCCTGTCCGTCAGACAGCTGACAGCTGGAGATCGATGGGTCGAGCGGACGGCCGGGGCGACAGTGCCGGCATAAGCCAAGAAGCCCCACGGTGGCCGGGCACACGTCGGTGGGACACAGCGGACGCCGGGCAGCCCAGCCCGTGTTCAACGGTCATAGACACAGCATCACAGGATCTGGCACGCACGCGGTCGTGGACACAGCGCAGACCTGGCAAGCACGCGGTCATGGACAAGGTGCAGATCTGGCATGCACGCGGCGCGAGCCTGTTGTCCCCGGGAGACGCCAAGTGCTGTTCTAGCGTCAAGAAGAGCGATGAACTTGCCGTGTGCTGACGCTTGGCTTATATCCAGCCACGAAACGACTCAGTTGGCATGTTAATAGCTTTGGAATAATTAACTCTGACGCAGCCACTAGGACAACACAGAATGGTACCTATGCGGTCTCCTTTCAGCGAGGTGCGGTACCACCAGCGGCAGCGAACAGTCAACTCCGTTGCCATTTTTTCAAGCGGCACATGTATGTTTCCCCCTTGACATTTCAGGAGGTCCTGTCATGGTGGCATGCAGGAAGCCCCAGATTGCGGAAACAGAGCATTCTGTCAAATAAAAAAGAGAGCCTTTACAGCACGCAGGAGATGGTATCTATTATGTTTGTGGCCATATTTGGCCAACATCAGGTTTTGATGGTGGAACGAGTGCCCCAAGTGGTCCAGAGTAGGCCTTTCAGACGGATAGGATGCTTCATGTAAAACACAGGAAGCCCGGCGCGCCCAAGAAGACGCCCATATTTAAAGATCACACCTAGGTTACAATGATGTGTGTGTATATATATATATATATATATATATATATATATATATATATATATGTATATTATATATATATCTGATATGTACATTATATATAATGTATATATGTGTATATTATATATATATAGTATATATATATATATATATATATATATTTGTACATATATATCTATATATATAATTATATATATATATATATATATATATATATATATACCTAGTTAGGAGTTCTTTCCAAGAGACGTGGGTGAAATCTAGCGGGAAATTTTAACTGGAGCTGGGATAGCAGGCGGTATAAATAATGCAGCAAATCGGTGGCACTGTCCCTGCCTACGGCTCCTGCCGATTACCCCCGTAACAATACTACAAGCTTCATCATGACAAAGAAGGCAGGGCTCATGCAGAACACGGTACAGTGTAGAGGCTTAGTGGTCTAAGGCATCAGATAACGTCCCGCTGTCAATGCTCTATTCTGAAGTCCGGTCCACGCCCGTGTCAGCGGCTGGTACGTTCACACCCCGGACTGTTTAAAAATTCCGCTATAACGGAAGCGGTTTAGCGGAAATGTCCCCCTCTAAAATTGCATGTTTTTTTGCTGCGTTTTGTACTGCACGTATCTGGCGGATTACGTTGCTCTGGTGCAGCAGTATGGGTATTTATGGGAGCGAAGCAGAAGCAGTGCTCTCTCGGTGGCATGTTTAGGCGGCGAGAACCAGGCGGGGCAAAACGGAATGTATACTAAGCTTTCAAGATGAGATTTCAGTTATCTTTGCGAACCAACCAGGCTGAAGTAAATTGCAGGAGAATTGAGGTGGTTTGCCGGAATAAAGCATAACTTACAACTGTGCCTGAAACAAAGGCGTCTCGTTCTGCCCACAAACATACTGATACAAGTGAGTCATAACAAGGATAAATTTAAGGAACAAGCCGCTATTTCACGTCACTGGATGACACAAAGTAAAAATGATGCTGGCTGATACATGTGTATGTTGGCAGTAAAATAAACACGAGGCCAGTGCTTCTCTGAAACTGCTTGCTTATTGCGGATTTGTGAAAACAGAATTCAGTTTGTTAATGTTGAGATTAAATGATGACTTACGTACTTACGCACCAAAAAGCAGAAGGCTATTGACGCAAATACGCAGTACAGGACTGGTGAGGCCACTGCATAATAACCAGCCCCTCCCCCCCCCCCCCCCCACCC